TGAAGATCCTTAATAATGACATGTTTTTTCTCGAATAAATAACGAGATACAACACATTTGGTATCACAACCTTAGAAGAGACTCCCGATGTTTGGTAATTTTATTAGAGGTAGCAACAACTCCTGACGGTGTTTCAAATATTTTATTTGAATGAAGTTATGAAGGCCTGAACAATGATCAAATAACAAGGTGGTCTTCTCGCCCTGGTATGGGATACTATCAATAGTTGAGAGGCCCTATCAACCATCTTTGAAGAGAACAAAGATCTGAGTATGTGGCAAATACAATTCATCGCATCATAGATTTTTTCAATATATAATGATCGCTCTTCGTGGAACTCGTCCCTAGAAGGGGAGGTTATGTCACAGACATATGCATGTAAGCGAGCAATTATATGTATAAATAAATAGAAATAAGTAGAAATAGGTAAAAATAAATTAATATTATAATATCTTCTATAAAAGCTTCTTAGAAGCTTTATAGATGCTGCTTTGATTTTATAGGTGTCTTTAATTAACTTTTTGGATTAGAAACGTGGTCAACAAGTTGGCTATGTGCTACATATGTTGTTAGCTTGAAGACCAAGCTAACTATGTGGCCCTTACATGGAAAAAAATTCCTTGTAAGTCAAGGCATGTGTCCTACAAAGTCAATACAAATTGGAGGTTCTATAGAATATCACCACGTTGTTGTGATGTAATAGGATTGATATGTGAATGAGTGTTGAAATTATTTTAATGTTGGAGATCTTAGTTCGAAGTATTAGAAAAAATTATCTTATAAATATAGTTAATAGTCAAATGGGTTGTAAAATTAAAAGATACAAATGCTGCCTTTTTAAAAAGGTTACTTCTACTTACTTTGTAGGACTATTAAGAAGGCAAAACAAAGTAGATTGGAAAAATAAATAATATAAGCATCTTTAGAAAGAAATTAAGAATAATTTCTTGTAAAATTTATTTAGTAAAACTAGATATTGATACTTGGAGAAGGTTGATTATGAATCAGGGTTGAAATTAGATCCTAAGGCACAAAGTTGAGTTTGGAGGATGAGTTCGGGGTTGTTTTGGAGATCAAAGAATGGGGTTTGATGGCAGACTTAATTAAATTTTTATTAGCATTGGTTTTAGGTGCTTTGGATATGTAATGACTTTGTGAAAGCTTCACAAATCAAGTTTGTTTTTGGATGACTTGAATTTTGTGAAATAAAATAGGATTGACGTTTTAGAAAATTTCAAGAGTTTTGTAATAGATCTACAAGCGAAATTTTTTAGGTTGATGGTTATAATTGTGCTTAATATGTGTTGTAAATTTTAGCATGTTTTAATGGTTGAATTGAAGGTTATTGAGGTTTTAGTGGATCAAGGTCTTAGAAAGTAGAATGTTAGGTCCAGTGAGGATTTTTAAGATTTCATGCAATTTACTAGTTCGATTGGAGTGAAATTTATGGATAAGGATAATAGGTTTGTTTTTCTATGTATATGAAAAGTTTGAAATCAGTCAAATAGTGAAATAAAAAGATATTGGCTTTGAGAGATTAGCATCAAGGTTGAAAAAGGAGGCCGGCCAATACCGAAGCACGTTTTTGAAGTTATCGTCTATTTGGTAATTCCGATCCTTTTTAAATTCTTTGTGCTTATTTTTAACTTAATTTTTAAGAAGTATGCAAATTTTGAATTAAGATCAATGGTTCATTCATTAGTTATTGAGGTTTAAATTTGTTGTAGAAATTACTTAGGTTTGGTTTAGGATTTAGGATTTGTTTAAGATTTGATTTATGATTTAGGATTTGGTTAGGATTTGATTTAGGGTTAGGATTTGATTAAGATTTTGTTTAGGATTTAGGATTTGGTTTGGATTTAGGATTTGATTTAGGATTTAGGATTTGATTTAGGGTTTAGGATTTGATTAGGATTTGATTTAGGATTAGAATTTGGTTAGGATTTGATTTGGAATTAGGATTTGATTAGGATTTGATTTAGGATTATGATTTGGTTTAGGATTTTGGGTTTGATTTAGTATTTAAGATTTGGATAGGATTTGATTTAGGATTAAGATTCGGTTAGAAGTTGATTTAGAGTTTAGGATTTGGTCAAGATTTGATTTAGGATTTAGGATTTTATTTGAGTTTATTTAGGATTTAAGATTTATTTGTTTTTGGCCTAAAGTTTGAATGAAGTCTAATAGGATTTCAACTAAGATTAAATTAATATTTAATTGAAATATATTTGAAATATGTTTGAGATATATTTGTAATCATTCTAATATTTCTTTAAGATTTCTTATCATTTCTTTATAATTCTTTTGAGGTTTCTCTGAATTTGATTAAAGCTTGTTTAGCATTGTTAGTGTTCTATTAGAATTAGGATTTAGTTGTAGGAATTTCTATTCTACTTTTGACAGCTAGGTGCCCAAAGCATTCTTAAGCAAGACTTTACGTATTACGACAATGTAGCCCCTTCGTTAGATAGTATATATAGAGACAAGAGTGAAGCCTTCTTCACTCTTGTCAACTCCTTTTTTGCTTCTAGTCTAGTTTCAAGAGTCTCAAGTTTTCTTGTCTTTTGAAAATAAGCTATTCTAGTTTTGTTTTAATATACATACTTTCTTATTTTTATTTTTTCATTCTTTCTTTGACATAGATCTCATTGGTTTATGCATCATCTTTTAGTTCATGTCCTTGATAGGATTCCCTCATCCTCGACTTCAATATATACTAGGTATTAGGAAGCTTTTTAATAATTTTTCATGTTGCTTGAAGATGAAGCAATTTTAGAAAGCTTTTCAAGTAGTTTTTAAATCATTTGAAGATGAAGCAATCCTATAAAGCTTCTTGAATAACTTTTTTAATCCTTATAGAATTTTTTAAGAACTTTTTAGAATATTTTAAGAACCTTCTAGAAATATTTTGGAACCTTTTAAAATCTAATAGAATATTTTAAAAATATTTCTAAAATCTCCTTGTTGAATGTCTAAAACAAAATCAAAAGAAAAAAATTTGATCTTTCATTGGCTAAATCTTTTATTATTTTTAACAAAAGTGAAGCAAAAGTTGAGTTATGTAATAATTTATAGATTTATAGAATCATAAATTAATAAGGTCTTAATAACACATATGATTTACTTCTATCTCAAAAAATGATATCACATTGGCTTTTGATCCAATTATTATTGTTTTCATCAAAAAAATTGATAAATATAATGAAGTAAAATTTTTCATTGAAAACATAATTTAGCAAGCATTGGTGATTAGGTACAATCCATACCACTTTTGATAGGTATTTTCTAACAGTCCAAAGACTATTTTTATGAGATTGAAGATGCGACTTTTTATTTCAATAATTAACTAGTGGCACAACTGAATAGAAAAGTTGTTGTTTGAAGAAGGAACTATCATACAGACTTATAGGCTAAATGTTACTATAATAATCAAGATTCCAAAGAGAAGGTCATTATAGAATTAGAGAGCTACTCAAAAGACATTACTTTTGATTATTATTTTTATATGTAAAAAAGGCTGAACATTTGTAGGTTATTTAGAGACAGAGATTGGAATATATGTATATCTGGATACATTAACAAGAAAAAAACATGTGGTTATTAGAAAACACACTTGCTCCAAGTAGATCTATTAATTTAATCAATGTTGATAAGTAAACACTTGAGTAGTTCAATTTGGAGCATTAATAAGCATTGCAAAATGTTGCATTTTCAAATTACTAACTATTAGCTTGCTTAAACCATATGTTGGTTTTAAAGTGGTAAAGAATTTATTGTCAAGAGCATACATATTTTGGAGTATGTTGATAAGGAAATCCTAAACATTTTAGCATCTGAAACTCGGTTTGAACTTGAAATTGGTGACAAAGGTTCTAAAGAGGTCACTATAGAATTAAAGAGCTACACAAAAGATATTACTTTTGACCATTGTTTTTATAAAGGGCCTAAATATTTGACGGTTGGTAACTTTCATCCATGTTCAATCTCATTATCGTAATTTTTTCTTTTCAGATTTTAAGAATGGGCTTTTTATAAGAAAATTTCAACTCCATTTTTTGGATGAGGTCTTCTGAGAATGCAACTTTGATAAACTTCATTCTTTAATATCTATCTCATAACTGTTTCAATAATAACAATAGCAACAGCATAGGTTGAAACCATGATAATAATACATATTCAATTAGTTATAAACAATTTAGCTAAGCATCATACAAAAATATTCTATTAATACCTCATATGTATAATTAAAATAATAGCAATAAAAAAACTCATGTATATAATATAAAATATAAGAATTATAAAGAGAAATAAAAGAAGATTTTAATTGTGTTATTTAAATTCAAACTTTTAAATTATTATAGCTCAGTTATCAACTAAAAAGTGTCAATAATATATTCTGATGTAAAATTTCATGTTGATAACTCTCTTTTTGATATTCAAAAATAAAATTGTACATCAAAAATTTGCTTCAATATATTACTTTTACAAAGCAATGAACTCTATTAATGGTAGGTAGGTATGTATGTATATATATACATATATAAATAAATAAATAAATAAATAAATAAAAGTATTCAAATATTAATGAAGCAAAAACTTGTTTGCTAGCACAAATCACAACAAGTTACAAATTTACAAATAATTATTTTACATGTTAAGATTTTAATATTTATTCTTTTTTTGATTTTTGATTTTGAAACTCAAATAAAAATCACAATCATTATAATTACTTTAAATAAATGTGGTGTAGATATTTACCGTTAGATCATCTTAATGAATAATTAAATAAATACGGAATTTGCCAAACTTGCTTACTAACCATGCAGAAACGAAGCCAGAAAATATAGAGCAAGGATCAACATGGAATCAGACGACAGCTGCTGTTTGTGATCGAAACCATGGAGAGCAAGCATAATATCAAATTCCTCGTTTCCTGAATTAGATCCATGAAGCCAATTCAATGCTGTGCTAAAGCAACAAAATCTCATTTGGATCGGCAATTCAGACAAGGCTTAAGCAAGTTCATTTCAAGTGCAACACACACAAAAAAGACATAAATTCACCGGGCAGTTGCAAGTGGAACTTGTGTGATGTCTTGTCCTACACAGAAGTAAACTTTACTAGGTACACACTAGTCATGCTCTCTGAGTCCAAGCCTTGACATGCCGAACAAAAATGAGGAGCTGCGATAACAAAATGGGGTATGGATACTTGGTGGTATGAACATACTATTACATGATAGAGGTAATATGGATACATAGTACAAGAACAGGAATAGTCACTAGTATGACACAGTTAGGCGTTCTTTAATGTTGACGACCTGAGGAACGAGACAAAATGCCAAGTTTTTAAATCACGCTCGTACTTTGCGCACTTGAATATGGTGAGAGTACTCTGATCTCCAAATGGGCTGTTTTCCACTTTGCACCAAAGCAACCTCTTCGCCATCTTGGACCATACCTTTTTTCTGTTTAGAACCAACACAGTTAACAAGTATCAAAACTAGGAGAAATACATGAGATAGTAAGCCAAGAAACAACAAGATGTTCCGACTCTTCATCCATATGTCGCCAGAACAGATCACTGAATCGAGTCGTCCTAAGACCATTAGAGTTGAAAAATAAAATAAAACAAAATAAAAAACAGAGGAATCTTTGGAACAATTTCATTTAAACTAAAGGGTTCCGCAAAGAAGTTAGAAGAAAGGAAAAACGAGCAAACAAGCAAACAAGCAAACTAACCTGCAGTATGCTGAGCGCATAATTAAACGTCTCCTCCGCGTCGTTTGTGAATTTAATGTGTATAGCTCTTACACCATGGTAAAGAGCCAATCTCGATTGCACTCTCTTACTGCAAGTAAACAACAGCAGTCAGTCATAGAATCCAAGACAGTCTGGTTGCAATGAGACACTCCTTACCTCCACAAACAATTTCATGGAACACAATTATGTGAGCACTGGAGGCCCAATTTAAAGCAGCCTTAGCAGCTGCGCTCTGCTTCTATAACAATTAACATGACTATGCAGCATCACGACATCGAAACCTGGAACGTAATTACCAATGAGTTTGAAGTAAATCATTGCAAAGGAACTGAAACGTACTCGTTTGTGAAAGCGAAGATAGTACCAACTGGACGGTAATGGCTCAATAACAGAGCCATAAAGCCCGTTCGTGTAAACACCAGTATAGAAGTCCCCAATGTATTTGACATTAAAGTGGCATGAAATGCGAACATTTCACTCATATGAGTCTGTCCTCAATTAAATAACCACACGACATAAAGTGAGCACTGACAACAGATATAAAACATTTCCAAGCATACTTGATTTCACATTCATGAGCCTTAGCACAGACCGCTAAAAGACAATCAAGGAACTAACAACCAAACATTAGCTGTGTACCCAAAACACACTGCCACGTTCAGTGCACGCATTTTTCACACAGGAAGAGTCATGCCTTACAATGCTTGAAGGATGAAAGCAGTTACCTTAAAGGCTCGACCAAGGTTAGCAGGGGCCTCCTCCTCTGGCATGGTTGCTTCTGTGCGCATGGCCACAGTGTGCATCACTCGCACAGCTTTCAAAGGATACCTGAACACATAGTATAAAGGTAGGACTGCAACATGAATATCACCTCAACTTGAACACAATTCTGTCTCTTCAAGGTTCATATGCCTGCGAAATACTGAGAACAGAATGTAATTTGTTTCATACGATTCTAGTTTACAATTCCATCTAGATCGTCCTCAACAGTAATACGATATTCGAAACACAAAAATTTACTTCAAGCAGAAAAAAAAACTGTCGAGAGATAGTGCACTGGTTTAATCGCGCTTACTTTCCATGAGCGGTTTCCCCTGAAAGCATAATTGCATCCGCACCTTCACGGACAGCGATGGCTATGTCTGAGACTTCTGCTCGTGTGGGCGTAGGGTGAGTGATCATGCTCTCAAGCATGTTCGTAGCCACGATCACTGGCTTTCCCATGGCTCGGCAAGATCTAATAATTTCTCCCTGCAGAGAAAACCCACAATTTTCAATTTTCCCATGAGAAATAACAAGCACAAATACTCTGTGTGATCCCGACTGCAGTATCATTACAAATACTCAAAAGTAATCTTTATTATACTCTTTTCTCACAATTCTGGAAATGACCCTGATATGAATCACCCATATGTGGGACTAAAAGGTCTGTACAGAGGAAACAAATCACTTTCATGTCAGATTTAGAACTGTGCTAAAGCTAGGCTCATCCTTAATTTTCCTTCTCTACTACGTCATGACATATTATAAGACATCCCAACATATTCTTACGTGCCAGAATATTAGCATATATTATACAGCATGTTACGTATCATACCTGGAGAAGAGGCACCTCCTCAATTGGCAGCTCGGCTCCAAGATCACCACGGGCAACCATAGCCTGCAAACAAAAAGCTGAACACTTAAAGAGGAACTTTTGCAATTTAACCAGATTGAGCCAGCCGAGAGGAATAAATAGAAATCCACAATTCATAAAACATGCAAGCACTTGAACCCATCCTACCCAAAAACTTTGGCACAGAATTAGTTGGCCGAAAGGACCACACACACAGTATAAACCAGGTTAATAGAAACTCACACCATCAGCTGCATCCAGAATGGATTGTAGATTGGGAATCGAATCCGCACTTTCAATCTTCACAATGACATGAATGTCAGCTGACTTCTCTGCAGCGCTCACACTATTCAATTAATAATAATAATAGTAATAATGATAATGATAATGATGCATGTAAACAGAGTCATCGTTAAAAAGATAACGAAGATTCGAGACCCCAACATGAAGAGGTTTCGTAACAAGGAACAATGAAAGGGTACATACATCAACTACAGGAACCAACAATACACTTGAACGCCGTGACCTTGTAGAAAAGACAGAACTTCTGAAGTGCTTCAGCAAGCAAGCACGTTATATGCATCCACCAACATGCTAAAACTAAGAAAACGTTTTTAGAGAGTTAGGACTCCAAAACCAAGGCATTTGAATTATACCTTTCAAAAAGGATTTGAGCTCATGCACCACCTGGGCGTCCTTGACAAATGACAGCGCGTAGAAATCAACTTTATTTTCTACTCCAAATTTAATGTCTTCCCAATCCTTCTCTGCAGACTCCACAGAAGGAAACACAATGGTATCCAAAGTCCGTGTTCAGATAAAATTTCTATAGATCTCTAGAGATAGTGATTGCACACTAATGAAATTCCGTAATTTGAGGTAAGGGAAAGCAGACACACACCAAAAAATATATATCTACTTATTATTTTTTAAAAAAACAAAAATTCAACTCATTCGGTACACACATTTAATTGATATTACTGCCAAGGAGTCACTGTCGTACCGGTAATGGAGGGTAGAGTGGCACTCTTTCCGCGCACGTTGAGGTGACGACGGGACTTCAATTCACCCCCATCCACCACTTCACAGTACACTTCCTCGTGGGTCTTGCCCTTCACCTCTAGCGACATCATGCCTCCTGTTCTCGTCGCATTCATAACCTCAGTTAGCTCTCGCACCAACTCTCATTTCTACAGCCAACTTAATACTGGCTAACTACAGACTACAGGCGGTTAAATAAAAAAACACCTATTCAAAGTGGTATCATAGCGAGAGTGGAATTATGCAAAAAGCTCACATAGTGATGAACAAAACGAAGCACGAATTCTGTAATGCATGCATGAAAAATCACCATCAATCAGCAAAGTATCGCCTATTTCCACATCGGTCACAAAGTCATCGTAGTTAACGCTCACGCAGGTATCGGTTCCCACGCCGCGCTTAATTGTGAAGGTGAATGGATCGCCCTTCTTCAGCATAATTGGCTGAGGCAGGTCTCCACTTCTAACCTCTGGACCCTGTGAGGTAGTAAGACTCTTTCTTAAATATATTTACATACGAAAGCCTCAGAAAAAAGAATTTCAGCTGATGAAAGCGATTTAATTCTGCTAGGAATTGCTATGCACCAAAAAATCCAACAAACAAACAAATAAATAAATTACTCTTAAACAAAACACGATGTTCCATCGAGAGCAACACAAACCTTTGTATCCAACATGAGAGCAATGACATTCGCGTGCGCTTCTTTGTTGAATTCTCGCACAAGATCAATCACCTCCTTATGCGAGGCGTGATCTCCATGGGACATGTTAAGCCGAGCCACATTCATTCCAGCTTCCGCGAGCTTCCAGATCATCTCCTTCGTATTGGATGTAGGGCCAATTGTGCACACAATCTTCGTCTTACGCTGAAAAGAGGGCTTGACCCACATCCCAACCCTGCTCTCATCGGGTAAACCCTGAAAGAGGCGCAATTTAACCTCGTCTTCCAAAAAGTTGATGCGGCCATCCTCGGGCGACACAGGTATAATGCTACCACCTTTTTCCTTCACGTATCGCCCAGGACGATAACTCGTCGCACGGACAAGCACAGCAACCCTGACAGCCTCACTACTCCCCTTCCCCTTCCTTCCCACACGCAAACCACTCTTCGTTGTTCCAAATGACTGCTTTCTCAATCCCTGAAACCTGTCCAGAAAGGCCACTTCACCCCCACTCACTGCGCGTGTCGCAAAGTGTGAACTGTTAATTAGCATGGAAGCCATAGCTCCCCAATAAAACCACAATACTCAGTGGAAAACAACAGCAATCACCACCACAACCCAACTCAATTTCTCCGCCGAGGCAAAGAGAGCATGAATCTGTGAGGCGATTGATGTCAGCACAAGCGTCTGGAAAAAATCAAGCCAAATATATCATTCACGAGACTCTGAAAAGTTGGGTGTGTCGACCAAAGTCACTGCTCACGGATACGGCCCACATCGAACGAAAGTTCCGTCGGGATGGACAGAAAGATACAGGGAGAAGATTTCAGTGCGCATATTATGGGAAGAACAGCTCGGTCAATCAGGCACATGATTATCCTCGAATCTTCTGCTCCTTTTACAGATCGTTGCAAAAAGTCAGGTTAAGCAGACAACATGCCTGGCCTTGGGTGCCGGAATCTACCAACCTCGGTTTGGCAGACACATCCTAGCCCAAGCTGCGACGAGACTGAGAAGTCAGCGAGAGATTTCGTCTTTCCGCCTTCAGTATAACTTTGTACAGAGAGCTGCGGTGTTGGGGATTACTGCATTTGATTACGGAAGTTTTGGAGTTGTGTTGGTGCTTCAGCCCTTCTTCTAGTTTGAGGTACATTTCTCTTCACCCGGTGTGTATGGAGGTGTTTTGTTTTTGTTTATTTTTAAAAAAATTATGAGATCCGAGGAAGTCGGTGTGAAGATTGCGAGTATGAAGTTGGTATGGATGAGTTCGAATGCAGCTCAACAGGTCACGTAGAGGCTCGAAGTTTAATTTCCCAACTCGAATGTGTGTGTGATCGTGTTATTCGTGCGGTGGTTGCGAGTTTCGGAGTTTTGAAGTGAACAAAGTTGGGTGCGTTTGAAAGATCGTAGAAGGGATCGCTTTGTTCTATAGCCTGAACAGCAATGTGGGTTATGTTTGAAGCTATGTTTGCGTGGGTGCTTCATTTGATCCTTCTTTTTGTTAGCTCACTGTCAGGTGATGTTTTGAGACTCCATTTGATGTTTAGCAGAAATTGGGGTTCAATAACCCAGCGCTTCTTTTCTACGGCAGGCTCATGGGCAACCGCCACGAGGTGGTGAACTAGCGCCAGGTCATTCGCTAGCTCCGACTGTTTTATCATACATAGGCTGTAGGAGTCTCTCAATATTACAAGTTTTGAAGATACAATTTTACAGACATCAGCAAAAATGGAGGCAGACAGTTCGTCACATCGTGTTCGTCATACTACTGGCGTCAGTCCCCCCGCCTCGTATCCTCCTGGTATGATACTGTCTCCTCTCCAAATCTGCCCTTCGTGAAGCTATTCTTGAATTTGAGTTGCGATGCCAGATTACGGACGCGTGTGTCAGAACCTACCGTTGGCTGCCGATTACTGTTGGTTTAACTTTATTTTCACATCTTGGTATGCAGGCACTGGATTTGCAACTGGGCGCATATCGTTAGGTGAGGTTGATGTTGTGCAAGTGGCAACATTTGAGGAAGTATGGAGTGCCCTTGAGGGCGGGGTGGAGAATAAGGGTGCCACCTTCTACAGGCCAGTTGAGGTTCCGGCTGGGTATAGTATTCTATGTCACTATGCACAAAACAATTCAAGACCTAGAGCTGGGTGGATACTTGCTATAAAAGAAAATGGGAGTCCGCCTGCAACAATACCGCCGTCGTCATCACCACCATCTTCAGCGTCGTCGTCGCCTTCGCCACCATCATCACCTAAGTCTTTCGCCGACCGTCTCAATCCGTTTGCGGGTCTGTCATTAGTTTCGAAGGAGGATGCAGCTTCGGACATCTACAATCCGCTTGTGGGGGTACATCTAACCGCAAGCGAAGCTGCAGTTGAAGCTGTAGAGGAAAATATCAATCCATTTGCTCGTGTAGCTGTAGTTCGGAACACAACTGTAACCGAAACTGCACAGGTAGACAAAACCTCTGACGTAGTGACATCTTCTTCCGCTTTGAAAAGCCCAGTGGATTTTAGGCTGATCTGGAGTAGTTCTAACTGGAAGGGAAAGAAAAATGGAGATGTTTGGGTCTGGTTGCCAGTTGCTCCAGAAGGATACTCGGTACTTGGATATATAACAACTAATACTGAGAAAAAACCTGCTACATCAGAAGTGACCTGTGTCCGCACCGATCTCACGGACACCTTGGCAGTACATCGTAAATTCTTCACCACAAGTGGCACAACCAAATCCGAGTTTGGTTTTCCTTTCAGCACTTGGACCACGAGACCTGCTGTCAGAGGAGTGAGTTCTGCAGGTGTCAACGTTGGCAGCTTCTTCTGTGCCCGATCTGACGACGCAGAGACTGATCTTCCAATTGCCTGCCTCAAAAACGTAGCATTCAGTCTGGATTACATGCCCACAATGGAACAAGTGAAGACCATACATCAGTTCTTTGGGCCCACAGTGGTCTTCCATCCAGCCGAGACATTTCTCCCCAGTTCTGTTGCCTGGTTCTTCGACTCAGGTGCAATGTTGTACAGCAAGGACTCCTCTATTCCACCTGTTCGTATTAAAAGTGACGGTTCAAATTTGCCTACCGGAGGAACCAACGATGGTGCGTTTTGGATAGATCTTCCCGAAGATGGGAGCAGAGACTCAGTGAAGATGGGGAATTTGGAGTCTGCCGAGGCGTATACTCATCTTAAACCGGTTTACGGGGCCACATACACCGACCTTCAAAGCTGGCTTTTCTTTCCTTTCAATGGACCTAGTACTGCCAAGGTGGGAAAGATCAACATTCCCCTCGGACGTATGGGAGAGCACGTCGGCGACTGGGAACATTACACGCTACGAGTAAGCAACTTCACCGGAGAATTGGAGGCAGTGTACTTCTCTCAACACAGTAAGGGCGAGTGGGTACTAGCCTGGGACCTTGAGTTCAACTCCGCCAACAAGCCCCTCGTGTACGTTGCCAAAAGTGGCCACCCCTGTTATCCTCACCAAGGCGATCACCTTCAAGGAGATCAGGAGCACGGAGTTGGACTGCGCAACGACACAGCTCTCAGCACCCATTTGCTCGACTCCTCAGTGAAGTTTCGGGTATGTACTAACTCCATCAGTCATTGCTCTACCAAGTACGGATAGCGGTCCTGCATTGCAAACCTCTTACAAGCTGAATCGTCTTGGATCGGTGCTTCGTGCACCATCGATACCCTAGTTATTGCGATGACGTAGACTCTTATGCACTACTGTTCTACCGTCCAGACATATGCCTGAGCATCAATTCCATGGTTCCAAATTGAGCTGTGAGTCCTCATCTTGCACGCATTTCTAGATTTTTTTCAACGCTGAATATTTATATTTATATTTATTTTTTGTGTGTCTGAGCAGGTATTCTCCGCCGACTACATGCATCAAAGGGGTGATCCAGACGCGCCGGTCGAGCCGACCTGGCTGCACTACATGCGTCCATGGGGTCCCAAGATTGTATATGATAGAAAGAAGAATGTGACTAAGATGCTGGGCCTCATGCCTACAATGCTCCATGGCTCCCTGGGAGACGTGCTAGGTAAGCTTCCGCACGAAGTCATGGGGCAAGAAGGTCCCACAGGACCCCGAGAGAAGAACATGTGGTTCGGTGACGAGAGGAGCTAGCGGCTACTAATTCTGCTGCCAATTGTTTTTTCTCTTTAGAAAACCAAATCCAGATTCTTTTGTGCAATACTGTTCTCCTCTGTTTGTTAGATTTGTACACTACGAACCTTTTTCCTTCTTTTTCAGTATGTTTGTGCTTCTTATATAAAGATTTGTTACGCAAACATTGAACAATCTGCAATTTGGGCATCGAAGTAGAGTTTCGACACGCCAAGCATTTTCAATGACGTTGAGAACCCATTTGTTGGTTTTTAGATTGGTTTTTGTTTACGCCACATGTTTTTGATAGCATATTGAACGAAAATGCCTTGGAACATGATGAATTTCCTATTAAGATTAAATGTAACTATCTTTGCCATACTGGAAATAGTGTTTCAAAACATTTTATAGTGAAACAAAAAATTATTGCCAGTATATTTATAGCTTTAAACCATCTACATCTTTCTCTTAATCTAAGTTTTTTTTTTTTTTTTTTTTTTTTTTTTAATCATTCAAATTCTAATTATCTGCTCTAATAAATTAGTGTAAAGATTTAGTAAAATTGATGATTGAATATTTTTTTTCTAAAATCTGAAGTTGCTGTCATTTACAACAAGATTTATGTCATTTTATTTGTAATTTAAGTGTTTAACAAAAAAAAAAAAAAGAGTTGTTTAACATGTCCAATTGTAAATATATTTCATGTGTATTCTTAGCATCAAATATTTCAAATTGTGACATTAGTAATAATTTTTCCTTGCATTTATAAATGAGTAAAGTGTAAAACATTATGTATTCAACTACATAGACATAGGATGTATGATAATTCATAATATGGAATTATGATAAAATGGTAACACAATTGTTGATGTTAGATAGGAAAGACATGAGCTAGTGAAATTTTAGAGAAATCCAACCTTAGGCCAAAAAAAAAATATAATGAACAATTGATTTTACAATTGATGCCCTTCATGGAAATAGATATATCTTCAGTAAATAACTTGTTCTACTAGATACTTTTTTAGAAGTTGAAACACAACTGCATCTAACCTTGTACCATATTTGGCTCTATGTGCATGGATAATATTCTCCACAAATTATGTACAAGTTATGCTTCTAGAAGGGCACTAACATTGGTCTCTTGTTTTTTTAAAAGAAAACTCCACCCACCAATTCCTCTAGTCTCACAAGCCCTTACAAACTCATACATTTGCATTGATGTTGTTTATTGTCAATCAACGTTGTGACATGTGATATGGCCAAAGATTTTGAAATGGTGACTCTTTTGATTAGGCACAAGCATATTGTCTACAATCCAATAATCACGTGCTGAGTCAAACAAAAGTCGACATATTGACGATATACGATATAATCATACAAAATGATCATAAAGATTTCAAAGTGGAAGTAAAGCTAGCATATTTTGATACGTAATATGATGAGTCAATATCCTCAAATTGTGTACTCAATTTGCAACTGTATAAAGTTGCTGCTCAATTATGCTGTTTCCTACTCAGAAAACAACAGTCCAGCGTTAGAAAACCAGGCTTGTTGCTACGAGGGCAATCTGAATATCTCTCTGGAATGCTCACACTTCCATCGAGCTAAAAAAATAACAATTAGCACAAAATAGCAATCAGCAAGAAGGGGATAAATTGCAGAAATGCCTGTGCCAAGCACACTACTGAGTGATGATCTAAATCCACGATCCTACCCATGATGGTTTGAGATAGCGATTATACTGAGAAGTGGCCTTTTCTAATGTATCCAGAGGACTGATTCTTCCATCTAGCAGCTGCGTTAATGCAACTGAGGGCTAAAGCCTTAACAGTACACAAAAAACCACTGCTTAAACGAGTTTCCCAGGATTCCCAAAGCACCTTCTACCAATATGGGCTATGCATCATATTCACTTAAAGCATTTCCTACGAGAATACCAGAAAAGAAAAAATAATAATAATATCTATGCCTGTGTTGTATTACACCTGCGCAGTTCCAGCTGTGAAACCAGGATCTTCGCATCGATACCTGCCATCAGGACCTATTCCAAATCCTTTGGGATCGGCAAATACATTCTCAAGCAGTTGGCTGCGCTCCGGAAGAGGGCTAGCATCTGCAAATTCTACGGCATCTTCAACAACTTCATCGATCTTCTTTTCAATGGTCTTCAATTCAGCTTCAGTAGCTATCTCGTTCTCTAGCAGATACTTCTTTAGGGCAACAATCGGGTCCCTCGCAGCGTAATGTGCTTTCTCAGCTGCAAATCAATAAATAAATAAATAAGTAAAGAGAAAAACACGAAGACAGTTACCATATTTCTTGAGAGATTAAGGTAAACGGGAACGAAACTAACTAACAAGAATAAAATTATCCGAGTTTGCCTCTAGATGAGAGCAGAATGATAAGGGTGAAAATTACCAGGCTCCCGAAGTTCGTCTGGATCGGCAAGTGAGTGACCCCTGAACCGGTATGTCTCACATTCGATCAGCGTTGGGCCATCCCCTCTCCTTGCCCTCTCTACAGCCTCCCTCGCTACCTCTCTAACCTTCAATACATCCATGCCATCCACATGAGCACTGGCCATTCCGAATGCAGGGCCTTTCTTCCAAATTTCCGGATCCGAAGTAGACCTGAAATGCGACATACCAATAGCCCACAAGTTGTTCTCAACCACGAAGATAACTGGCAACTTCCACAGCTGTGCCATGTTCAAGCACTCGAAAAACTGGCCATTATTGGCAGTTCCGTCACCGAAGAAGGCTATTGAAACAGGCATGTCCCCTTCTTCTTTCAAAACCTCCCGTTTGTACTTGCTGGAGAAGGCAGCCCCCACAGCCACAGGAATACCCTCTCCAATGAAAGCAAACCCTCCTAACAACCCGTGCTCAGCAGAGAACATATGCATTGAGCCTCCTTGTCCTCGACAACAACCAGTGGTCTTGCCGAACAACTCAGCCATGACTTGCCGGGCCGGTACGCCTTTGCTCAAGGCATGCACATGGTCTCTGTATGTGCTCGTCACATAGTCCCCCTTCTTCAACAGCTTGATGAAACCCGTCGAAACAGCTTCCTGGCCATTATACAGATGCACAAACCCAAACATCTTCCCCCTGTAGTACATTTGCGCGCACATGTCCTCGAAGCTCCGCCCCAGCACCATGTCTTCATACAGCTCAAGGCCTTCATCCCTGGTCACTAACTAGAAGCCCCACACCATCAACACAAGCAATCGCGGCACAACGACAAAACGCTTCAAAATCCCCAATGCAGATTAAGTCAGTCCAATCAACCCAACAACCAGCTCCAGTTTCACTCACCAGCTCTGGCTTGTTCGACTTCGCGCAGCTCTTAGGAGCGCCCTTAGCGATCCTAGATGAAGAAACAGCAGCCCGTGCAATGCCATTGGCTGCCGCTGGACATGCCTTCTCCACGGCGTCAGCAGCAGCAGCACCCAGGAGCTGCTTCCTGCTATGAATGCGAAAAAAGGCCTTCTCACCAACCGACCCAGCATATGGAGAGCTCGAAGTGGCGCTTGTGAGGTCAATCTGCGGCCTAACGACGCGAAGCGAAGAGATGGCAGCCATGGCGTATATGTCCAAGGGAGACAGAGGCAAGAGAAACCCACATCCAGATGAAGACTGGAAGGGGAATGTATGAACAAGCAGTAATGCGCACGGGAGCAAATCAAGGTCGTGTCTAAGGAGCGAGATTTTGCGGCGAGACCGCTGCCTCGCCCAAGGCACTCTGAAGTGCCCGCCTCGCCATTACTAGTACAGCACCCCTAGAGACCACCACCCACTTCCAGCGTCTCATGAATGAACGGATGAATGAAGTGTCATGGACAGATGCGTACGACGGTGGATGGGTGATGTATCGAGTATAAATGGATGGATGGGTGGATAGATGGACGAGAGTATGCTACGTAGTTGCTCCAACATTATGTGAATTACTTGTTATCCATGTCTAGGGATTATTCTTTTCTGCCAAGCATTCCTCAACCCAACCGCAGCTTTGTACACGCTCTTTTCAATCCTCCTTGATCAACCCGAATATCTTCAATACAACAATAGTTTTAATTGTCATTTCAATTTATAATCTTTCTATAATGCAAATAGAAGTCTCTTATACCAATAAGACAAAACCCATTCATTTACAACGTCAATGTCATGATTGGACCTAAGGTACTACAACAATACAACTTCTCCACATAAGATTAAAGATCTTCACAAAGAACATGGATGATTAACAATCTAAAGCAACATTTTACTCTTCAAATTTATTTATAAATAATTTATTTCAATAAATTTTTCATATTAACATAAAAATATTTTTCTAAAAAATTATATATTATATAACTGTAATTAATGAATATTTAATTAATACCAAGTTTTTTATTTTTATTTTTTTTAATCTATTTTAATATAATTTCTAAGAAAGATAGAAAAGTGTGTATTCCAAACTACTCAAGTTGACTTTTTGGAATACATCATTTCCAATGAAGGCCTTATGATGGATCTAAAGAAGGTCCAAACTATCATAGATTGAAAGATTCCAAGAATAGTTAGAGATGTGCAATACTTTTTGAGCTTTTCAATTATTACTGAATCTTTATCAAGAACTTTTTTCAAATTGTAGCTCCACTTACACATTTGACTTGTAAAGACAAACTTCAATGGAATAACGAAGCCAAAATATTTTTTATTTTTTTGAAGAAGGAATTTACTTTTGTACCAATTTTGTATTGCATTGACTTTTCTAAGGTATTATTTATAGAAATAGATACATCAGATTTTGCCTTGAATATAGTATTGTCACAAATGGAAACTAATGACAAACTCCATCAAATATCTTTTCATTCTAAGAAATTTTCAATAGCCAAGATTAATTATGAGATCCACGACAAGAACTTTTTGTAATTATGGATTCATTTTAAGAATGACATCATTATCTAAAAAGTGCTTCAAGTCCAATCACAATATATACGGATCACAAGAACCTCAAGTACTTTATATGGGCATATATTTTGAATTATCGCAAAGCCCATTGAAGCATGTCATTATTAAGATTTGATTTTAAGATTATATATCAACCTGAAAAACAACAAGATTTATCAAATGCTCTATTTAGACACTTTTATCTTGCACCAACAAAAAAAAAATATAACTTTTGATCAACTAAGAATAATCTTCTTGAAGTTAGAGCATTTTCATCTTTGAGCAATGAAATCAACATTGACTATTGATTTGATCTTTTTCAAACAAATTCAATTAAGTATGTCCTCTGATCCTCTTATTCATGATATCAAAAACCTTTCTTTTAAATGTCATGATGTTTCAAAGTTTGAGTTCAAGAACAAAATTTTCTATTTCGAAGGACTCTTATATGTTCCAGAAGGAAAAACATGTTTATATGTTCTTCAAGCATGTCATGACTTTTGAGTAGTATGATATTTTAGATACAACAAGAATTTAGAGCTTATATCCAAAGATTTTTGGTGGCCGCAAATATGGAAGATGATAAAAAACTTTATTCAGTCATATGACACTTCTTCAACATCAAAAACTCCTCGTCATCAATCCTATAGACTTCTTTAATCATTGCCTTCATCCAAACAACCATGGTCTTCCATTTCTATGGATTTTATTATAGATCTTCTAAGTTTAGGTTCATATGACTCTATATTTATAATCATAGATTGCGTCATCAAAATAGCATATTTTTTGCTATATATAAAATCTATTTTAGGTGAAGAAATAGCTAAGCTTTTTATTGACAATATCTATTGCTATCATGGATTGTCAAAGGATATTATATCGGATAGAGGGACTCAATTTGTATCAAAATTTTGAAGAATTCTATTTAAGATATTAAACATGGATATAAAACTCTCTTTGGCTTTTCATCTTTAAATTGATGGGCAAACAAAACCGATGAATCAAGTTCTGAAATAGTATTTGAAGTGTACCACCAACTATCATCAAGATGATTGAACAATTTTTTTTCCATTGGTAGAGTTTGCATATAATAATTTGATACATTCTTTTACTCAACAAACACTTTTTTTTGTGAATTATGGTTATCATCTACAACTTCAAACTTTTGACTTTTCAAAAGTTTAAAATCCTGTAACAAAAGTTTTAGCAAATTGTTTGTGAGAGCTACATGCAACAATGAAGACACAATTAAAAGAAGCTCAAGAATAACAAAAGACCTATGTAGATGTCTATCACAAGGAACAATCATAATTCAATGTGGATGATAAGGTATGATTACTTTGTTACAATATTAAGATTACTCATTCTTTGATAAGTTGGACTATTGTTGGCTGAGATCTTTTCCTATTTATGAACAAATTAATCATGTTGCTTATCAATTACATCTATTGGAGTTTATGTCAAGGACATGAACTAAAAGATGATGCATAAATCAATAAAATCTATATGAGAAAAAAATGACAAAATAAAAATAAGGAAGTACATATATTAAAAAAAAATTGAAAAGACTTATTGCCAATAGACAAGAAAACTTGAGACTCTTAAAACTAGATTAGAAGCAAGAAAAGAATTGACAAGAATAAAAAAGGCTTTACTCTCGTCTCTATATATACTATCTAACTAGGGGCTACGTGGCGAAGTTCTATAGAACCTCCAATATGTGTTGACTTTGTAGGACACATGCCTTGACTTTCAAGGCAAGTTTTTCTACGTGTGGACTACATAGTTACCTTGGTCTTTATGCTAACAACATGTGTGGCACATGGCAAACTTGATGACCACTTTTTTAATCCAAAAAATCAATTATAGATACCTATAAAGTCAAAGAAGCATCTATAAAGCTTCTAAAAAGCTTCTATAGAAGATATTATAGAATTAACTTACTTTTACTTATTTCTACTTACTTCTACTTATTTATATAAGTAATTATTAGCTAACATGTATATGTCTGTGACATTACCTCCCTTTGTAGAGACAAGTTCCATGAGAAGCAGTCATCATATATTGAGATAATCTATGATGTGACAAATTGTATTCACCACATACTGAAATCTTTGTTCTCTTCAAAGATGGTTGATAGGGCCTCTCAACCATCAATAGTCTTCCATACTAGGACGAAAAAACCACCATGTTATCAGATCGTTGTTGAGGCCTTCATAACTTCCTTTAAATAAAATATTTGGAATACCGTTAGGAGTTGTTTCTACCTCTAATAAAATTACCAAACATTGAGATTCTCTTCTAACGTCAAAATTCCAAATGCATTGCATCTCGCCATCTATTCAAATAAAAATATGTCGTTTTTAAGGATCTTCATCTCGATTGCATAATCTTGAAGGTTGTGACAATTATAATGTCTCGTCTGACAGGTCAATAAACAAAGGCTCTTCAATCAAATTTGTTGATTGTTGGTTCTCCATCTCCTTAGTGTCACAACTACAAAGAAGTTACAAACAAGGATTGAAAGTAAAATGTTATCTTGCCTAGATCTCGTTTTTTTTGTAAAGAAGATTTTCATCTTGATTTTGATGGATATCATCAATGAAAAGCCTCTATTTCCTTTGTTGCATTTACAAGATTCTATATTGGTTCCAATGTGTATTCATTAATATCATATCCGTACCAATAGACAAGATATTCTAATTTAGTTTGGCATCGCCTTGAATCTAAGACTTCTACTTCAAACTCTTCATTATTGTCTACTTCTATAGGAAGAGGTGGAGCTTATCTTCTTCTTGCTATGTTCATTATCTTGTATGGTTTAAGAAGAGACATGTAGAAGACTAGATGGATTTTCATTGATTCCAATAGGTATAAACGATATGTAACTACATTGATTTGTGGAGAAATAGGAAATGATCCAAGTCTATAAAGTTTAATTTTAAGAACAAGTAGTCTTGATATTGCAATGAAGTAATCATACCTTGTCACCCGTGTGGAATGGTAGTTGTTTCTTTCGATAGACATTTGTATTGATCTTTTGTTGTTCTTGAGCTTATTTTAATTGTGCCTTCATTGTTGTATGTAGCTCTGATAAATGATTTGCCAAATCTTCCGTTGCAAGATTATCAGCTTTTGAAAAGTCAAAAGTATCAAATCGTAGATGATAACCATAATTGACAAAGAAAGGTGTTTGTTTTATAGAAAATGTACCATATTATTATAAGTAAACTCTGCCAATGGCAAAAGAGTTGTCCAATCATCTTGTTGATAGTTGATGGTACATCTTAAATACTGCTCCAAAACTTGATTAACACGCTCTATTTGTCCATTAGTTTAAGTGTGGAATGTCAAAGATAGTTTTATATCCACTTTTAGAATCTTGAAAAGAGTCCTCCAAAATCTTGATACAAACTAAGTTCTTCTATCCAATATAATATCTTTGGATAATCCATGATAACAATAGATGTTGTCAACAAAGAGCTTAGCTGTTTCTTCATTTATGATAGATTTTGTTTATTATACAAAATTTATCATCTTAGTAAAATGATCTATTATCACGAATATAAAGTCATAAGAACTTGAGATTGAAAGATCCATAATGAAATCTATAGAAACAAAAGTCTATGGTTATTCTAAAATAAGTAATAATTAAAGAAGTCCATAAGATCGATGATGAGGAGTTTTCAAAAAGTTGATTATCGTATTTTACAATAAAGTCAATTGCTTGACTCAATATTTGAGGGTCAGATAAGTTGAACATCAATTTTTTTATTTCTTATTGTAATCCATAGAAAAATTGGCTAATAAGTGCAACATCATCCTACTTGATATTAG